GGCTCTATGATGCAGCTCACCAGGGGCTCGCTGGTCCCGCCTGCCATGAAGGTCGATACCATGTGGCGTGTGCTCGCGCACAGGTCAGACCTCCACCAGGTCTCGAAGGTGGGAACCCAGGATGACACCATCTTGTGGGACACTCAGGGTTTTGAATGGATGGGCGAAGTTCTTCAGATTCTAGCCGTGGGGAAACGTAATGAGAGCTTGTGGCAGTTTACTTATCCAGAGTTAGTGCGGGAAATTCGTAAGCAAGGCCGACTGCTCGGCCAAGACATTGTACCTTACCAGTTGCGCCATGCGGGCGCCTCCTGGGATATATCTATATAAATATATATATGTATATATATATATATATATATATTTATAAAGCATCGCAACCTGTGCGAAGTGCAACGTCGTGGTGGTTGGATGGCCACCAAAAGTGTGCAGCGCTATGAGAAGTCAGGCATGATGATGAAAGACTTCGCCCTGCTTCCCCTGGCGCTGCCCTGCTGGCTCGAGGAGCAGGCGCACGCGCTCAAGGACTCGATCCTCAGAGGCCGAGCGGTGCAGCCGCCGCCGCCGCTTGTTTTCAGTGCCCGTGGCAAGCGTGTAGCTACTCTTCCCAACACAGCAAGGTAGGTGACACATCATGTTATGGGTGATATGGGTGAGTGTGCGCCGTCGTGCCTCTGCTCTCCCACGCTCGTATGCAGTCAGACTCCAGACGGCGCTGGCATCAGACACTAGGAAACTGAGAAACAGAGCGCGGGGGGATCATGTGAGTTGTACGTGAATGATCTATGCGCGCTCGTAATAAGTTTTTCGGCTTCCCGTGGCCTGACCCAAGCCGTTTTCATTCTTTCACATCGGGTGAGTTTGCGCCGTCGTGCCTCTGCTCTCCCACGCTCGTGTGCAGTCAGACTCCAGACGGCGCTGGCATCAGACACTAGGAAACTGAGAAACAGAGCGCGGGGGGATCACTGTGCTTCCCTTCTTTCCTCGCCCTCGTCCTCCGTGTGACCTCCTCCCCACCCTTTGTCTTCGCTCCTCTGCCAGCCTCCCCTTCTGCCACCTCGTGCCCTTGCCCTCCCGTCCTTTCTGCCTCCGCCGTGCCCCCCCGCGCTCTTGCTTTCTGCGGTCTTCTTCGATAACTTCATGGCGCCAACGTCGCAGAGCGGATTTCGTTTGGTTCACAATGGGATGGGCCCAGATTGTCCTGGAGCGCGTCGTCCCGGATTTCGGAGTGAATTTCGTGCGGATTCACTGAAGATTTCAAAAAGCCCGCGTGAAATTCACGTCGCTTTCTCTCGCCGTTTTGGGGTCTTGAGTTGGCAGAAATCCATGCAACAATCCGCCGCAGCACGTTTTCAAGGTCGGTGCCATGATTCATTTGCCCTGTCAGGATGCATGTTATCATCGGTCGCCGATTTCGCGAATAGAGGGGCGAACAACGCACCGGTAAAGGGATGTTGCAGGTGGCGCGTGCGCACCTGACCTGCCCCCTGCCCTTCTTCGGTCTCTTCTTTGTTGTTGCACCGCTCCCCGCCTCTCTCCTCGTCGCCATCTTCCTGGCGTTCCCCAACTTCCACCGCCGATTCAACTGTGTTATATATATATATACATATATGTGATCTTCTTTTCTTTCCTTCTTCTGGAAAGCGCGCCACTGGATCGCCCTGTGCTTGAGTAGTTGGGTGGGGGTTCGGACCCTCCGCCCTTTCAAAGGCGGGGTGGGATTTTCTTTGGGGGGAGTGTGGGGTCCGACCCCCCCCCCTTCCCTTGAAGGGGGGCTGGGGGTCCGGGCCCCCCCCCCCCCCCTGGCGCTGGCAGAGGGGGGGGTTCGAACCCCCCCCTCTCCCCCCCTTTGCGCCCGCGGAAAGACAGCCGGGGAGGGGGCCTCTCCTTTTTCTGCGCCAGAGAAGGTGGGTAGGCAGTACGGAGTAGGGGATAGTGAGCACTGAGTAGTGAGTAGTGAGTAGAGAGTAGCGAGTAGTGAGTAGTTAGTAGTCAGTAGTGAGTAGAGTGTAGTAAGTAGTGTGTAGTGAGTGGTCATGAGCAGTGAATAGTGAGTAGGGAATAGTGAGTAGCGAATAGTGAGTAATGAGTACTGAGTAGTGAGTAGTGCGTAGGGAGTGCTGAGTAGGGAGTATGGGGTAAGGAGTAGGGAGTAGGGAGAAGGAGTAGTAAGTAGTGAGTAGTGGGTAGTGGGTAATGCGTAGGGAGTAGTGCGTAATGAGTAGAGAATAGTCATGAGTAGTGAGTAGCGAGTAGTGAGTAGTGAGTAGTGAGTTGAGAGTAGCGAGTAGTGAGTATGGAGTAGGCACTAGTGAACAGTGAGTAGTGAGTAGTGAGTAGTAAGTAGTCAGCCTCGAATAGTGGATAGTGAGTAGTGGGTAGGGGATTGTGGGTAGTGGGAGGTGAGTAGGGAGTAGGGAGTAGCGAGTAGAGAATAAATCGTGTGGAGCGAGTAGTGGGTAGTGAGTTGTGACTAGTGAGTAGGGCGTAGGAACTAGTGTCTAGCGGGTAATGGGTAGTAAGATACGAGTAGGGAGTAGGCAGTTATGAAAAGTGAGTACCGAGTAGGGAGTAACGAATAGTGAGTAGTGAGCTCGTCAGTAGTGAGTAGTTAGTAGGGAGTAGTGACTAGTGTGTGATGAGATGCGAGAATTGGGCTGCGAGTAGTGGGTAGTGCGTAGTGAATAGTGAGTAGTGAGTGTGAGTGGTGAGTGGAAATTTGTGAGTTGTGAGTAGTGAGTAGTGAGTAGTGACTAGTGAGTGGGGAGTTTTGGGTTGTGTGTAGTGGGTACTGAGTAGCGAGTAGTGAGTAGAGAGTAGCGAATGGTGAGTAGCGAGTAGTGAGTGGTGAGTGGTGAGTAGTGAGTAGTGGCTAGTGAGTGGGAAGTTTTGAGTTGTGAGTAGTGATGAGTGAGTAGTGTGTAGAGGGTGGTGGGTAGAGAGTTTTGAGTAGCCAGTAGCGAGTAGGGAGTAGCGAGTAGTCAGTAGTGAATAGTGAGTAGGGAGTAGTGAGTAGTGAGTAGTGAGTAGCGAGAGATTCGTAGTGAGTAGTGAGTAGTGAGTAGTGTGTAGTGAGTAGTGGGTAGTGAGTAGTGAGTAGTGAATAGTGAGTAGTGAGTAGTGAATAGTGGGTTGTGAGTAGGGAGTATTGGGTAGCGAGTGCCGAGTAGGGAGTAGCGAGAAGTGAGTAGTGAGCAGTGGGTATTGCGTACTGTTTAGGGAGTAGCGAGTACAGAGTAGTGAGTAGTGAGTAGTGAGTAGTGAGTAGAGAGTAGGGAGTAGTGAGTAGTAAGTAGTGGATCGTGCTTCGTGAGTAGTGAGTAGGTAGTAGTGAGTTGTGAGTAGTGAGTAGTGAGTAGTGAGTAGTGAGTAATGAGTAGGGGGCAGTGAGTAGTGCGTGGTTGGTCGTGTACAATGAGTATAGAGTAGTGAGTACTGAGTACTGAGTAGGGAGTAGTCAGTAGGAAGCAATGGGTAGTGAGTAGTGGGTAGTGGGTAGGGAGTAGTGAGTATCGAGTACTGTTCGGGGCTAGGGGTTGGGTTTAGGGTCTGGGGTTAAGGCGAGGATTAGGGTTACGTGTGGTGGGGGGGGGGGGGCGGGTTCTGGAGTCAGGGGGCGGCGTGGCGAATGGGGGGGAGCGGGGTGGGGGGTCAATTTCGAGCCCAAGGTGGGAGGGGGGTCGGAACTCCCCCCCCGCCTTTTGAAAGGGGGGGGTCCCCGACGACGGAGTGGAAAAAGAGGGGGAGTCCTCGACGACGGACCGGGAAGGGGGGGGGGTCCCCGACGACGAACCGGGGAAAGGGGGGGGGGTCCTCCCCCCTTTGAGGAGATCCAGCGGCGCGCCCTCCTTCTGCTGTTGTCTCCCTCCCATCATTTCTTGTTCCTGCTTCCCTTCCCTAGATCTTATTCCTTTTCTCTGTCATCATCTTCATCCCTCCATGGCTTTCGTTCGCAATTTCTGTTTTTTTTTCGCCGTGCTTTCGTCACAACCGTCCTTAGTTTCTCCCCCTCCGACCCGCGCTTTATTTCTGATTCTTTCATTCACCCTCAACTCTTCCTTGTCCTTTTGCTGGTGCTGACACGGGCTTCTCATGGTCGCGTTCGTTGAGGTTCTCGTGCCTGTCCTCCCGCCTGCCCTCTGCCTCCGCACCCTGCTCCTGCTCCTTCGTCTGCTCCTACGCCATCTTGGGCCGAGGGTGCCAAGTGGCGTTGAAGCGTCGCTCGGGGCCAGCGGAATGACCGGCACGGTGGCGATAGTTCTGCTCAGAGCAGGGACCTTGCCCGGCGCTGACCCCCCAGATCCCCACGGCCGGAACGGGGCGGCAGCCACAGGGCACCGCGGGTGACAGCCGCCAGTGTCCGCCCCTGTGCGCACTTCGTGTGGGTCTTCTGCCAACCCTCTGAGGATCTTCTCGGCCCAGTCGCTGCCGACGAGCACAGCACGAACGACAGCCAGCCTCGCCCCTCGTCGGCCCACCGTCCTGTGTCCTCCTCCTCTGCTCCCTCTTCTGCGTCCTCCTCTGCTTTGCCTCAGGAGGAAAAAAACACAGACACAATTAATCCTCGATCCCCCAGAAAATATAGGAGAAGATGGGAAGTGGGGGGGAAGACAGAAATCCAGAAAATATGGGAACATATGGGGAATCTATTTCTATGTGTGTGTGTATTTATTTGTGTGTCCTGGGGCCCCTTCATTGCCGTCCTCCCTCCTCCATATCTTACGTCCTCGCTCTTTCGCCCCCCCTCCTCCCGGCCTTGCCCTGCGGAGCTCCCCCATCTGCGCTCCGCGGTGCCTCCTCCCTCCTCTCTCCTCTTCCCCCCGCCCTGCTCGCCCCTGCCCTCCTCCCTCCTTCCCTCTCCTCCCTCCTCCCTCCTCCCTCCTCCCTCCTTCCCCCCTCCCCCCTTCCTCCCTCCTCCCTCCCTGCCCTCTCCTTCTCCTCTTCCTCGAGGCACCCGAGGACCGTCCCCCTCGTGGCGCCTTGGCCGGATCGGGCTCGAG